ATCTCTCCTCGATCAATTTCCTTCCATTATTCCTTGTCCGGCCTTCAGGTGCTTTGGAGAATAGCTTGACCCCCTTCCTCCTTTCTGCAAAAGCCCCTCAAATATTGGAAGATGCTGTCCTGTCTCCCCTGGTCCTTCTCTTCACTAGACTAGCCAGTTCCCAGTTCCCAGTTAATCATATATTTTAGCCTCCAGTCCCGTCATCATCCTGGTTGCTCTTCTCTGCACTTTTTCTAGAGTCTCCACATCTTTTTTTATAGTGTGGGGACCAAAACTGGATGCAGTACTCTAGGTGTGGCCTTACTAAGGCTTTTTAGAGTGCTATTAGGACCTCCCTTGATCTTGATTCCATCCCTCTGTTAATGCAATTTAGGATTGCATTGGCATTTTTGGCTAATAAGATGATTCAGGGACTGGAGACTAAAACATAAGAAGGGTTGCAGGGATTGGGAAATGTCTATTCCAGGGGTCTCCAAACGTTTTGAAGTTGAGTCCAGAGGTCTTAAAGTTGCCATGTTTGGAGACCCCTGGTCTAGTCAAGACAAAGAGAAGGATCACGAGTGACATGATAGCAGCCTTAAAGTGCATTAGAAACATTTTAAACAATGCACTGCAGTGTCTCTGAAAGGCATTAAAGGGGATTTTGGTGGAAGCATGAAAAGAGAAATTGCAAGTAATTTAAGATTGGAGGTAGGGGGGAGGATGCCTGGGCAGCATTTTGACAGGTTTAGCAACACACAAGCACAAAGTTTTGGGTTTCCCCTGTTAACAGGAAAACATTGAACTGCTGAGATCAGAAAAACCGGGTGGGAAACTGTGGGCCACTCACCCCATCAGGGCTTGCAAAATGCTGATGCAATTTTTCCGAGAAAATTGCACATAATTATTATTATTTTTTTTAAACGTCCTTAAGCATTTTGTGGATTGGTCTGCAAAATGGGGATATTTGGTCGACTGCTATTCTGTCCAAGCCTCTTGACATGAGTTTTCTTTTTGCTTTCTTTTTCAAGATAGCAATCTGAAATGACGGATCCTGATCTTGGTTCAGTTCTTGTGCAGTAAAACTGAAAATCCTAGAACTGCATTCGATTCCTAGAATTGTGTTTCAGGCATTAATGCAGGTGATCCTTGACTTATGACCGCAGTTGAACCCAAATTTTCTGTTGCTAAGCAAGACAGTTATTTAAATGAGCTTTTCCTCCTTTCACGACCTTTCTTTGCCAATATTAACAGAGTTGGAAGGGACTTTGTAGGTCATCTAGTCCAACCCCCCGCCCAAGCAGGTAACCCTATAGCATTTCTGACAGATGGCAGTCCAGTCTCTTCTTGGAAGCCTCCAGGGATGAAGCTCACAGAACTTCCGAAGGCAACTTCTGTTCCATCGGTTGATTGTTCTCACTGTCAGGAAATTTCTCCTTATTTCTACGTTGAATCTCTCCTTGATCAGTTTCCATCCATTATTCCTTGTCTGGCCTTCAAAGGTGCTTTGGAGAATAGCTTGACCCCCTTCGTCCTCTGTGGCAGCCCCTCAAATACTGGAAGACGCTCTCCTGTCTCCCCTGCTCCTTCTCTTCACTGGACTAGCCAGGCCCAGTTCCTGCAACCGTTCATCATATGTTTGAGCCTCCAGTCCCCTCATCATCCTGGTTGCTCTCCTCTGCACTCTTTCTAGAGTCTCCACATCTTTTTTATAGTGTGGTGACCAAAATTGGATGCAGGACTCTAGGTGTGGCCTTACTAAGGCTTTATAGGGTGGTATTAGGACCTCCCTTGATCTTGATTGTATCCCTCTGTTAATGCAGTTTAGGATTGCATTAGGATGACCTACAAGGTCCCTTCTGTTAATCTGTTAATCTGTCTCACTTGACAGCAGAAAGGTTGGGTTCAATTGTGGTCGTAAATCGAGGATTACCTGGACATCAATAAAATCGATCCTTATGTGGCCAGCTGACCCGCTCCAACATTCTTGGCACGCTCCCGTGGACCGAAGTGGATCCGTCCACCCTGAGTGTTTTTTCCTTTCTTCCAAATGACTTGACATCTGGGCAAAACCTGGGAGTTTTCCTGTCACAGAGACCTTTGGGAGGGGTGGGTGCACTTAAGCGCATGCATGGAATTTTTTCCCCCTTTCTCGATGCATCTCCCTCCCGAGCGCATATTTCCACCGTTTGCAAATAGGTTTGAGAGCCAGGAATGATTTCAGCGGGGAGCCACTCACTCTCCCCGCCCTCTTCCAAGAAAGCTGGCTTGTGCAACCTTAGATATTTTTCTCTCCTTCGGCCTTCCTGGATTTGAGACAAAGGAACCGTCTTTCTTCCTCTGTGGCCTTCTTCCTCTCTGCCTGGGCGGAGTAGCAAGGCTTCCCTCCAGAGAAAATAAAGGTTGTAGTCCTCAGGGTTCAGAAGGAAAGGGAGAGATTTGGCCTCGGTGCGAATCCGGACAAGGAAGGTGGCAAGGATGGGATTCCCCAGCTTGCTAAATTTATGGAATTTGCAAGAGATGGCTAAATTAAACTTCTTTGGTTAGAGGGAAGACAATATCTGCATTTGTGGCCGAGTGGAAATCCCATAATAGACTCTTTGCATAAAATGGAAAAAAATGCACTTACAATTAGTGGTTTTGACGATTAGGGGGAAAATATGGAGAAAACAGTGAGCTCTTTTTTTGTAAGCCTAGACTAGAGGGAGAGATATTTTTGAAATTGTACTTAGATTTGCTGCAATGGAAATCCCAAGCTTGCTTCCTTTCCCCTCTTGCCCCGCCTCCCTCCCTTCCTTTTCTTTCCTTCCTGCCTTCCCTTTTCCTTCCTTCCTTTTTTCCTTTCTTCCTTTCCTGTCTCCTTTCTTTCTTTCTTTCCTTCCTTCCCTCCCTCCCTGTCTCTTTTCTTTCCTTCCTTCCTTTTTTCTTTCTTCCTTCCGTTTCCGTCCTTCCTTCCTTGATAGACCTGCTTTCACCCAATTTCTTGCAAAGTTTCTCCCAAACTTACTTACTTTCTTTTCCTTCCTTCCTTTCTTTCCTTCCTTCCTTCCTTCCTTCCTTCCTTCCTTCCTTCCTTCCTTCCTTCCCCCGCCTCCCTCCCTTTTCCTTCCTTCCTTGCCTCCCTGTCTCTTTTCTTTCCTTCCTTCCTGTTTTCTTTTTTTAAAAGTCTTTCCTTTTCTTTTATGATCTGTTCTGTTCTTTTCGGTTCTTCATTTGTGTTTTTTTGTAAAACATTTAATAAACATTTATTTAAAAAAAAATACAATTCTAGTCCTCATCGTTCAGAAGGAAACAGAGAGGTTTGGGCTCAGCAGGAATCCCTAGTGGGATGGTGGAGTCCTTTTCAAAGACACATTGCCTACAGATTGTCTTCGACTTACAACTGGGTTCTTATCGGCAGTTCAGAGGTACAACAGACTTTTCGGGGATACATACGACCTGGTTCTGAGGGCCAGGTATTTTCCCTCCCCCTCCATGTTATATGACCCCTCTGGGCTGCACTGCACTGCAGAACGGGCCTGTGGCCATCTTTTAAGACATTTTCACCCAAACCTGCTATTTGCTCATGATTTTCAAAAGCCAGCCTATACATACCCATTGGGTCACTTAATGACCACGGGATTTCCTTTGTAAAAAGAAAGTCATAAAATCGGTGCACTGATTTGGGCGGCCTTGGGCTTTTGACCCTCACGACATAGGGCTCCTATGGGGCAGCCCCATTGCAGTTTTAAGACAAGGGCGCACCCTCTAATTGTCGTTTTAAATTTGAGTTTCGGTTCCTCGGACAGGACAGGATTGTTTCTTGGAGCGGCGATCTTGTTGGGAAGGCCAGATTCAACTGGGAAAGGGGGAAAGGGGCCGTGGGGGCTTCTGTTGAGCATCTCTCAAACCTTGGCAGCTTTCTGACGGGTGGACTCCCCAACTCCCAGAATTCCCCAGCCAAGCCTGGCTGGGTTTTGAATTCTGGGAGTTGGAATCCACCTGTCTGAAAACTGCCAAGGTTTGAGAAACATTGAACAACAGAACAGAATGGAATAGAATGAGCTGGAAGGGACCTTGGAGGTCTTCTAGTCCAGCCCCCTGCTCAAGCAGGAGACCCTATACCATTTCAGGCAAGTGGCTGCCCAGTCTCTTCTTAAAAGTGATGAAGCACCCACGATTTCCGGTGGCAAGCTGTTCCACTGGTTAATTGTCCTCACTTGTTAGGAAATTCCTCCTTATTTCTAGGTTGAATCTCTCCTTGTTCAGTTTCCATCCATTATTCCTTGTCTGGCCTTTGGGTGCTTTGGAGAATAGCTTGACCCCCTTCCTCCTCTCTGGGGCAGCCCCTCAAATATTGGAAGATGCTCTCATGTCTCCCCTGGTCCTTCTCTTCACTGGACCAGCCAGGCCCAGTTCCTGCAACCGTTCATCGTATGTTTTAGTCCCCAAATCCTCTTGGTTGCTCTTTTCTGCACTCTTTCCAGAGTCTCAACATATTTTTTTTTTATATTATGGTGACTAAAACTGGATGCAGGATTCCAGGTGGGGTCTTACATGAGAGTTCAAAGCAATACATGAGAGGAGAAAGTTTGAATTTGCAAAGCTCATCCTGGCAGGAGATTTAGGAGTGGTGTGGTGCCCTAAAGGTAGAGAGGTCTCGCCTCACAATCAGGAGGCTGTGAGTTCGATTGTAGGTAGAGAGAGATATTTTTCTCTCTCTGGGCACGATGAGAATATATTTGCTGAACAAAACTCCGCATTGGTGACAGGAAGGGCATCCGGCCAGTAAAACACTGCTAGCTCCATTCAGTTGCCCAGACTCCACCCCGCAAGGCATTATGGGGTCGTTAAAAGATGATGATGATCCTGGCAGGGGACTTGAACTATCCCTGTTTGCATGACAAGTTTGTGGCTTTTGATTATCCAAAATCTGGACGAGTTGGCCGTACGAATTCAGCTCCTCTGGACGAGTTGGACGTTCCCAACGGGGCTGGCCAGGCGTCTCCAGCCACTGACCTCTGCCTCGGTTTTCCCCGCAGGTTACGACTTTGCCGCCGTGCTGGAGTGGTTCGCGGAGCGTGTTGACCGCATCATCCTGCTCTTCGACGCCCACAAGCTGGACATCTCGGATGAGTTTTCGGAGGTGATCAAAGGTCTCAAGAACCACGAGGACAAAATCCGGGTGGTGTTGAACAAGGCGGACCAGATCGAGACGCAGCAGCTGATGCGAGTCTACGGGGCGCTGATGTGGTCGCTGGGCAAGATCATCAACACCCCGGAGGTGGTGCGCGTCTACATCGGATCCTTCTGGTCGCACCCGCTGCTCATCCCGGACAACCGTAAACTCTTTGAGGCGGAGGAACAAGATCTCTTCAAGGACATCCAGTCGCTGCCCCGCAACGCCGCCCTCCGGAAGCTGAACGACCTCATCAAGAGGGCCCGGCTGGCCAAGGTCAGTGTTCTGACCCAGCTCCCCAAACACGACAAACCCTCTGAAGTCGAAGCAATGATTCCTTTATTAGGAGCCCCAGCAGCCCCAGAAAAAAGTTTCTCTCTCACCGCAGGCTAACAAGTCTGTCCAGCAGTGAGATTGTCTGCCCCATCTATTCATCTCCACCCCCTGCCTTTTATCCCCAGAGTTAGTTGTGGGGCTTCACTAGCAGCGGTGGCTCTTCCGTCCCAAGGACCGGCCCATAGATTTCCACTGCTCTCCTCTCCTCTGCCTTCTGCGTGTCAGGCACTGGACCCAGCTGTTCCTCCTCTTCCTCATCAGCCACCTCTAAACCTGTTGACTGTCCATCTGAGGGCTGACGGACGGGCCGGGCTCCAGCCTATAGATTTCCACTGCTCTCCTCTCCTCTGCCTTCTGTGCATCCACACATCGGGTACTGGGCCTAACTGTTCCTCCTCTTCCTCATCAGCCACCTCCAGACCTGGGGGCTGTTGACTGTCCATCTGAGGGCTGACGGACGGCCCAGGCTCCACCTCTTGTCTCTTTCTCTGCCAACTCCATTCCCTCTTCCCCCTCGGAGCTCTCAGGTTGGCCTGATGCTGACCCTGTCTCCCACACTCCTCCTCTTCTAATTCGGTTGCTGGAGGGGCCAGCGGCCGACAGTCAGAAGCGCCACCCGTCCAGACACTTGGGAGATGGCTGGGGATGATGGAGACTGCAGTGGTGATGGGGGATATTTAACCTTGGGCATCTTTGGAGTGGTTAGGATGCTATGGGCTATCAGGGGCAAAGAATCAGGACTGCGTGTTAAGAGCACTTAGCTATCACACTATAAGGTCGTCCTCTAACTTACAATAGTTCACTTTTATTCGAAGTTACGGCACTGATAAAAGTGACTTACGACCGCTTTTCAACTGACTCATATTTTTGACGGTCACAGTGTCCCGGGATCACCTTTTGCAACCTTCTGACAATTTTTTTTTTTTAATTTGATTTATATGCCGCCCTTCAATTTACCTACCTTAGAAAGGATGGAAGGCTGAGTCAACCTTGAGCCTTGGCGAGATTCGAACCCTGCAGTAATTGCAGGCAGCTGGTCTTAATAAGCTTAATAACAGGGTGCCAATGGGGAAGCCAGATTCGCTTAACAGCCCTGTTACTAATTAAACAACTGCAGTGATTCACTTAAGAACTGCGGCGAGGAAGGTCGTAAAATGGGGCAAAATTCACCTAACAAATGTCTCCACTTAGCAACAAAAAAAATTGGGCTCAGTTCCAGTCGTAAGTCGAGAACTGCCTGTATATCACCTGCTAGTTAACTTCCAATTAATTAAGCTGATTTTATTGCTCTTGCCTATAGAAAATAGTCTCGTTTAAAGGTTAGCAGAGAAGAGTTGAGGGGAATTCAAGAGGATTTAAACCATTTGTGAGAATGTACCGATTCTAGGCTAATTCCTTTCTTGACACCGCCCTCCCCCCAGGCTCTGCCTCTCCTTCTCCTACACGGGCAGGAAGGCAGGCAGGACCCTTGCCAATCCCCTAAAGCAGGGTTCTCAAACTCAGGGCCCACTTAAATCCAGCCCACGGGGTCTCCCGCGGCCCCTGTGCCCCATTTTGGCTTCGGCAGGGTGCTGCAGGAGGCATCCATCCTGTTCCCTCCCCTCTGCTGGCTCGTGGAGGAAAACTCGGGTGAAATGCTACCAGTTCGCTCCGGTTCAGGCAAACTGGTAGCGGTGGCAGCACAAGGCTCCGCCCAGGAACGATACTTCCTGGTTTTAACTAGGAAGTAACCTGTTTTTGACCCTCTGTGCATGCGCAGAGAATCTACAATTGGACCTGATGATGGCACATGCGCGGACTACCAAACGGATAGGGAAGGTAAGTAGATTTCACCCCTGGGAAAACTACACTGATCCGGCCCTCAAAGAAATCCAGTTTGACACCCCTGCCCTAAACAAGGGTCTCCAAACATGGCAACTTTAAGACCCATTGCTGGCTGGGGAACTCTGGGAATTGAAGTCCACAAGTCTTAAAAGCTGCCAAGTTTGAAGACCCCTGCCCTAAAGCATCCCATTGTACGGACAGCAGACTGATCTCTTGACCACCTCCTGCAAAATACAGGTAGTCCTCGATTTACGGCGACTGAGCCTGGTATTTCTGTCACAAGTCAGGGCAGTCATAAAGCGAGTCATCACGCAGGCAGAACTGATTTAACTACTATTTTGTGACTTTTTTTTTTTTTGCCAAGGTTGTTAAGCGAGGACGTCAAAAGACTTTCTTTAAACTTTTGGAGGACTTTTCTTTAACAATGACCGTTGACTTCCTAAGTTTTTTTTTTCCAAGTTTTAAAGAAAGTTTTAAAAATTAGATGTTTATTTATTTATTCTTTCACTGCGTGTCTGTACTGGCTCCGTTCATAGAAAATCTGGCCTTTTGGGGTATTAATTCCAAAAAGCCGAGACTGTAGGGATGGCTTAGAAAATTTCCCACCAAAGGGATCCTATTTTTAGGAATGTGCTGTTTTTGTGAAGGCATAAACAGCCATAGCAGAAGCCGCCTAGGGCGCAGCTCTCTTAAAAGCTCCCTTTGTAGAAATGCACAAATTTTGCAACAGAGGATCCTTTAATTATGGGGAGAAAAAAAATCTGCATTAATGGCCCCATTGAGGAAAAACGAATGATGCACCTGGGTAAGTGGAATGGGGGTAGAATTCTCTTAAATTGGGATTTAAAATTTAAATTTAACTCCGATCTTAAATTGGCCCTTTGTTTTTGCAGTAATGTTCACATGTCCAGTTGTCTGGCTACTCTTCAAGAGACGCACGACCATCAAAATCCCAGTTAACCTTTGAACTTTGTAACATGCATCCCCAGCAAAAGGAGAACTTCCTTTTTTTTCCTGCTTTTCCCCCAAAATTAACGTTTGATGTGCTAAAGGGAAAAAAAAACAACAACCGTTTTTCTGAAAGAGTTTTGCAGAATCACAAAACAAACAAAAAAAACCCCAAAAGAACAGTGTGTGCTTTTTAAATAAATGCAGCCAATTAAAAGGAGAAGTCACACACAGCAAAATCTGATCTTTGTGAAAGTTTTTAGGGAATTAGAAAAAAATTCCAGAAAACTCCCTTTCTGAGTTCCTGGTCCAAGCTGGCAAATTCTTGTCAAGTTCCATAAAACTTCCTTTGTGTTTTGCAAGGGTTTTTTCCCTCCGCATACATCCAAGTTTTGCCAGCTTTAGGAAGTGTGGACTTCAACTCCCAGAATTCCCCAGCCGAGTTTTAACAGACACTGCCATACAGCAGTAAAGAAATTACCTGTCTCAGTTAATACATAGTACTTGACTTACAACCTTTCGTTCACCAACCATTCAAAGTTACAAGAGGGGGAGAAAATTGACCAGGCAATATAGGTAGTCTTTTTTTTTCTTTTTTTAATTTGATTTATATGCCGCCCTTCTCCGGAGACTCAGGGCGGCTTACAATGTGCTCAGCAATAGCCTTCATACTTGTTGTATATTTATACAAAGTCAGCTTATTGCCCCCACAAACTGGGTCTTCAATTTACCTACCTTAGAAAGGATGGAAGGCTGAGTCAACCTTGAGCCTGGTAAGATTCGAACCTGCAGTAATTGCAGGCAGCTGTGTTAATAACAGGGTGCATTAAACCACTGTTCTACCAAGGCTCTATTAACCAATGTTAAGGATATTCTTGTCTCATAACCGATATTGTGGGTTATTGAGCAAAGTACCCTTTGAGTTTACGCATGAAAGCAACAGAATGATTGTGGATAATAACAGTTCCCATACAAACAAACTGGGCTTTGATAATATTTTACTTTTAGGGAAAAAGCAAAATCATAGGCCAAAAACATTCCAAGTCATACACATCTAAAGTGCGATAAAGATCAGTCCAGGGATATTTTCCAATATAATGTCTTCCTACCAGTTGTAGAAAAATACAATAAAACAGATCTTCTTTAGTTTCATTCAGGAACAACAGTTCAATATAAAAATAGTCAATAAATATTAGAAAAGCAATAAATAGCCATGATCAAGCCATGATCATGCAGAAAGATCAAATATAGAGTTACAGCATATCAGCAGGTAAAATGGTGTAGTGTCCACACAAACCATAATTTAGCTCTCCTTAAATATATTGGCTACAGAGCTCAGCCAATCAGGATGCAAGATGATGCAACACAGTTTTTAAAGCTACATAATACTTTTAGCTACAAACACACAATGTTGGTTTATATATTTCCTGACCAACCAGTTGGGTAATAACAATTTCCTAACGGGGGTTGGACTAGATGACCTAAAAGGTCCTTTCCAACTCTCTTAATCTAATCTAAACAATATTCCCACAGTCCCATGATCAAAATTCAAGCATTTGTAAATACACCGGCATGGATTTACAACAGTTGCAGAGTCCTGGGGTCACGTGATCCCGGGGGGGGGGACGGGGGTGTGTCCAACAAGCAAAAAAGTCAGTGGGTGAAGCCAGTCGCTTCATAACTCTGGGATTCGCTTAATGACCATGGGCAAGAAAGGCTGCAAAATCGGACGCAGCTCACTTCATGCTTCGGTTAGTTTTGGTCCCAATTTTAGTAAGTTGAGGGCTACACATAAAGCGGAGCAGGACTGGATTTGTTTTTCTTGGATGAGACACCACCAGGAGATGCCAAAGCCATAGATTTAAAAGCCCCCCCCCCCCCAAAAAAAAAATCTGGAAGAAGGTGATAGCAAACCTTTTTTTTTTTTTTTGTATCACTGGTAAGAAAACTACCAAGTTAAGAATCAGATTTGAGTTGAGGTTGCCTGTCTTCATGTGTCTTAAAATAAAAATGATGTTTCTTAACCTTAAAACAATGCTGGCTGTGGAATTCTGGGAGTTGAAGTCCAGAACTCTTCATGGTTACGATTTAGAAAAACACGGGTTTGAAGGGCTAAAGCCAATTTGGATCTGAATTTATTTTTAGGGCTGCTTGGATCTTTTCAAACTTTCTAACCCTTTGAGAGCCGCTTGGGAAGAGGTGTTGAGAGGCACATCTGTCAACACCGTTGCACTGGAAGGTTTGAAGGGCTGCCCCCTTCTTCTGTTTATTTATTTTCTTTAGATTTATTTTTATAACAGCCCTCGATCCCAGTCCAGTCTGAACCCTGGGCCTTATCCAACAAATTCTTTGGTGAGAAAAGTAAAGTCTTACACTTAGGCAAGAAAACCCCAAAGTGCACATACAGACTGGGTGAAACCAGGCTTAAGAGCAGTGACTGTGAGAGGGATCTTAGTGGACAAGCAGTTAAATGTGAGTTAGCCATGTGCAGTGGCAGCCAAAAAAGCTAATGCCAAGCTGCATTAACAGAGGGATGGAATCAAGATCAAGGGAGGTACTAAAACCACTCCATAAAGCCTTAGTAAGGCTACACCTAGAATCCTGCATTCAGTTTTGGTCACCAAGCTATAAAAAAGATGTGGAGACTCTAGAAAGAGTGCAGAGAAGAGCAACCAGGATGATGAGGGGACTGGAGGCACAAACATACGATGAACGGTCGCAGGAACTGGGCATAGCCAGTCTAGAGAGGAGAAGGACCAGGGGAGGCAGGATAGCAGTCTTCCAATATCTCAGGGGCTGCCACAGAGAGGAGGAAGAGGGAAAGCTATTCTCCAAAGCACCTGAAGGCCAGAGAAGGAACAATGGATGGAAACTAATGAAGGAGAGAAGCAACCCAGAACTAAGGAGAAATTTTCTGACAGTGAGAACAATCAACCCATGGAACAGAAGTTGCTGGCTAGCAAATGAAAGAGGGAGGGAGGGAGGGAGGAGTGATAGGTAAAGGTTAGAGTAGAGGAGAAAAAGAGAAAGGAGAAAGAAAGAAAGAGAAGAAAGAGAAAGGAAAGAGAAGAAAGAAAGAAAGAAAAAGAAAGAAAGATGCTGAGACTCTAGAAAGAGTGCAGAGAAGAGCAACCAGGATGATGAGGGGACTGGAGGCTCAAACAGACGATGGACGGTTGCAGGAACTGGGCCTGGCTGGTCTAGTGAAGAGAAGGACCAGGGGAGACAGGAGAGCATCTTCCAATATTTGAGGGGCTGCCACAGAGAGGAGGGAGGGGGCCAAGCTGTTTTCCAAGGCACCTGAAGGCCAGAGAAGGAACAATGGATGGAAGCTGATCAAGGAATTAAGGAGAAACTTCCTAACACTGAGGACTATTAACCAGTGGAACAGTTTGCCTTCAGAAAGTTGTGGATGTTTCATCACTGGAGATTTTTAAAAAGAAACTGGACAGCCACTTGTCTGGAACGGTATAGGGTAGTATTGGCTAACCTTTTTGCCGTTGCGTGCCAAAAGCAGGGGGAGCAAAGGGGGCCATGCGCCCACGTGCCTATAATTCAATGCCCCCCCCCCCCCGTGCGTGCGCAAACCCCCCCCTCCATGCTCCCCCTGCTTTTGGCACGCGACGGCAAAAAGGTTACTGGTGGGCCCGGTAGGCCAGTTTTTCACCCTCCCCAGGCTCCAGAGGCTTTCTTGGAGCCTGGGGAGGGCAAAAATGCTCCCACCCCAGGTCCTTCGGAGGCCGGAAATGGCCCATTTCCCGACTTCTGGTGGGCCCAGAAGGCCCAAAAATCAGCTGGCTGGTGCATGCATGTGCGCTGGAGCTGAGCTATGGCAACGCTCGCGTGCCCACAGATATGGCTCTGTCTGCCACCTGTGGCACACGTGCCATAGGATCACCATCACATGTGTAGGGTCTCCTGCTTGAGCAGTGGGGTTGGACTAGAAGACCTCCGAGGTCCCTTCCAGTTGTTTTATTCTGTATTCTGGTTTCCCCTACAGTTTTTGCTTCTGAGAAGCTTGGAAGTGATGTTCACAGTACCTCCCGAGATGCTTCAACTGTCATAAATAACATGCCAGTTGCCAAGCACCCAAATCTTGATCCCGTGACCACGGGGAAGGGTGCGTTGGTTGTAAGTCATAAGTCATCTTTTTCAGTGCCTTCATAACTTTGGACAGTTGCTAAACAAATGGTCCTAGGACCTACGGTATTTTTCGGAGTATAAGACGCATCTTTTTCCCCCTTGAAAGGGGGTGAAAATTTAGGTGGGTCTTATACACTGAATGTAGCCCCGCCCACCCACTGGCCCCCACCCTTTGGCCTCTGCCTCACAGCAGTTACTTCCTTGCAAGCAAACAGCAAGAAAAAACAGCTCCTTTCAGTTTCAGCACAGCCTGATTAGCACAAGTTGATTGGATCGGCCTCCCGACTCTCAGCTGATTTGCTCTCCACTATTTTGCGCAGGGCCTCTGCTGCTTGCTGCAAAGAGGTAAATTGCTGGAGCAGATTTTTTTTTTTCTTGTGCTAATCAAGCTAGGCTGAAAACGAAACTGAAAGTAAAGCAGGCTGTATCCTGTTTGCTGGAAGGAGGCAAAATTGCTCAGAGGCAGAGGGAGATTTCTTTTTCTTCTTTTCCTCACCCAAAAAGGTAGGTGCGTCTTATACTCCTAAAAATACGGTAAGTGTATTCTAAGCCTCTGATGTTGGCAAGCAGCCCCCACTGCCAGTCCAGCATGACTCGGTCGAGAGGCTCCTTTCTCAAAACCCCTCCCTTCTGCTTCTTGGTTAGGTCCACGCCTACATCATCAGTTCTTTGAAGAAGGAGATGCCCAACGTCTTCGGCAAGGAGAGCAAGAAAAAGGAGCTCTTGAACAACCTGGGTGAGATCTACCTGAAGATCGAGCGGGAGCACCAGATCTCACCTGGAGATTTTCCCAGTCTCCGTAAGATGCAGGTAAGAGTTCTGAGTCAGGCCCCGAGGGTGGGAGGGACAAGCTGTGGGAAGAGGGTGCCCCAGTGGGATCGCACGTGGTCATGTTATCCCCGTACAGGTGGTCCTTAAATTACGGCCACAATGGAGCCCAAAATTTTCCTGTGGCTAAGCGAGACATTTATTTTAAGTTGAGTTTTGCCCTGTTTTACAACCTTTCTTGCCACAATTGTTAAGGGAACCAGTGCTGTGGTTGTTAGTAATGTGGTTGTTATTGGAAGGTCACAAAAAGGGGATCACGGGAGCCCGGGACACTGCAATGGTCATAAATATGTTGCCAAGCGTCTGGATTTTGATCGTGTGTCCACGAGGATGCTGCAAAGTGGGAAAAACGGTCATAAGTCACTTTTTTCAGTGCCGTTGCAACTTCAAACAGTCACTAAATGAAACTGTTGTATGTCGAGGACTGGACTACCTGTACTCTTGGGGACTTGGGGGAGGTGGAGGCTGTAAGAAAGTCGAATCCTGGAATTTGGGGTGGAGTGATCTTTTCATGGTTGCTGTGTCAGGATTCCAAGTAACCCACCCACAGCAATCAAAACTCCGAGGCAGGTGGATTTTTCGAAGAATTTATTGGACATGTCATGGTGACACGACCTGGTGAAAACCGACTCTTAAGTGTTCCCGCGGTTTTCACCTAATTAAAAGTCCTTTCATTTTCTCCCAACAATCAGTCACATGGTCCAGTCAGTTGCTAGATGACTCCAGCCCCCTCCTTCTGGACACCTGGTGGGAATGTCCTTGGTTTCCAAGAGAAAGTATTTTATTTTGGTTACAGCACCCCAGCTATCTCTGCTCCACCCTCCCGTTCCCACAGCTCCAGTTTTGGCAGCACTGAAGCCCCAAAATGGCCACAGCCAGATCAGCTTCAGGGTTGACAGGCTGAGTCGTTGCTAAACTGCGACTGGCTTGTTTCCCTTGCATTCCGAGGATCGGAGCCAGAAATTCCAACCAGACCTTTAAATGGTCACTAAATGAGCCCAAAGAACCGTGGTGGCACAGTGGTTAGAGTGCAGTACTGCAGGCTACTTCTGCTGACTGCCGGCTCCCTGCAATTCGGCTGTTCAGATCTTACCAGGCTCAAGGTTGACTCAGCCTTCCGTCCTTCCAAGTTCGGTAAAATGAAGACCCAGATTGTTGGGGGGGGGGGGTGGGGGGGATATGCTGACTCTGTAAACTGCTTAGCAGTATATAAGTCTAAGTGCTATTGCTATTGTTAAATTGAGGACTGCCTGTTGATTGTTTCCCACCAAACTCTTATGAAGGGCAGTTAAATGTCCTCCCAGTTGGGCCCCTGTAGATTTGGGGGTGAGAAACCCCTGGAGTTGACCTCTCCAACCGATCAACACATCCCACCGTTGTCTCTTGGCCCACGAGTCACAACTCGGTGTGTTTGTGTGTCCTCAGGAACAGCTCCTGACCCAGGACTTCAGCAAGTTCCAGCCGCTGAAGCAGAAGTTGCTGGACTCGGTGGACGACATGCTGGCCAACGACATCGCCCGGCTGATGGTGATGGTGCGCCAGGAGGAGTCACAGATGCCCTCCCAGGTGGTGAAGGGCGGGGCGTTTGAGGGCACCATGAACGGGCCCTTCGGCCACGGCTACGGCGAGGGTGCCGGCGAGGGCATCGACGACGTGGAGTGGGTAGTCAGCAAGGACAAGCCCACTTACGACGAGATCTTCTACACTCTCTCGCCTGTCAATGGCAAGATCACGGGCGCCAGCGCCAAGAAGGAGATGGTCAAGTCCAAGCTGCCCAACACCGTCCTGGGCAAGATCTGGAAGTTGGCCGACGTGGACAAGGATGGGCTGCTGGATGACGAGGAGTTCGCCCTGGCCAACCACCTCATCAAAGTCAAGCTGGAAGGGCATGAATTGCCAGCCGAACTTCCTTCCCATCTGGTGCCGCCTTCCAAGCGCAGGCATGAGTGATCCCCCCACTCCCCACCTCCGGACGGACGGGCCGAGCGCAGCAATGCGCTCTGGGTGGGAGATGCTCCGAGTGCTGCCTGCAGGGGGGACTGAGTTCGAATCTCCCTGCTCTGCGCGAAGCCGAGTCGCCCAGCCTTTCTCAAATGTACAATACTGTATGTTCTGATATATATATATATATATATATTGATATATCTACACTTGGTTAGATATGTCTGCATATATATGTGTGTGTGAGTTTGTCTCCTGGAAGAAAGTGTAATACAATGTTTTAAGGCTGTAATCTTCTCTGGTGCTGCAGGAAAAAAATGGCTCACTTTTTTATTTTAGCCAGAATATAATCCTGGGATTCCTCGCGGGATCTGGGAAATGGGGATAGCTGACCCCAGATTGTTACCATCCTTTGAACAGGGCATGTTTTTTCACAAAGCCGGATGGCTGTCCCAGGAGGAGCACACAGGATTCTTTTTTTCTAGAGAGAATCGGTAGTCTTTCTCCCCTTTTATGTTTATCCTTATTCCTGGAACCCGGTGCCGAAGAAGAAAATTGGATCACCTCTGAGCACACTTCCTCACTGCCCACAAAAGTCCATACTCACCGCATCTCTGCCGGAAGTCCCTCTCCTCTCCCAGTCTTATCCCTTCGCCCTTTTCTGGAGGAAGGATTCACATTCTCGTTGCCATTGCACATTTTTTTGGGCCCTAAATGGTGTCTGGTGGCGAAGCAGGGTTCCTCCAGAGTAGCTGTAACATCCTTGGGCACAAACCAGCATCCAGGACATAGTTTTGGTAGAAGTCAAAAAGGTTCAGCAAACAGCAGAGCAATTTTTCCCAACTTTGATAATGGGTGGACTTCAACCGGCTGGGGAATTCTGGGGAGTTGGAGTCCACCCATCTTAATTAATCTGGTTGAATTTGAGAAACTTGCTCTGAGGCAAAGGCAGGAGATGGGGGGGGGGTGGCAGGACTTGGAATGAGCATTGAGGCAAAGCAGAATGGACCCCTTCCCACCTCCCAGTTCCTTGCACCGGCTCATCCTGTTATCTGTGGGCCCCCAGACCCGATTAATTAGCCCTGGAATGGATTTTGCAAGAGAGAACGGAGTCTCAAAAGGGGACACAATGCTAAAGCATTGACATTGCTGAGAATTGTGGGAATTGGGCTATTCATCAGCTGGGAGGGGGGGTCTTGTTTAGGGATAGCTGGTTTATGAGCGGCTTTCAGTCTGGAGTGTACCCCAAGATTTGGGGGGGGCAAGATTAGCTGTATTGCAAAAGGGGGGTGAAGTGGAAGAGAGCCTATCATTTTACTTCTGACCACAAATCCCAGTTAATCTCTAGTCTCTGGGAGTGGGGGACAGTTAAAATACCCCACCCGTTATCCCCTGCATTAAAAACTGAATTCAAGAGTACTGCGTCTGGATGTTTCGTCGTCCCATCGTCCCTGAAATCCAGCACATCCATTTTCAGCGCCCCCCCCCCCCCCCCCCCACACACACACAAATACTTTCCCGTCTCGGGCTTCCTGAAATAATTTTTTTTAATTTCCCTGCTGGGGCTTGCTTTAAACGTTGAGGACTAGAAACTTGGGTTGGAGTTTGATTTTTGCAAGCCTGGTCAGAAATTCTCCAGCTGGTGCCGAATTGGGCGTGATGGTGAGGTGGATCCCAAAAAGCAGGGAAGATTTCGAGTGCCCCCCCTTCCTTCGGTTTTCAAACTTCTGTCCTTCGACCTCCTGAATCTTGGAAAAGCTAGAAACGAATCCTTCACACCTCCTAGGAGCTTGTGTTTTGCACAACTGTGGTTTTGCACTCTTCAGCCCTTGCCCGTTTTTCGTTCTTGATCGCTCTGCTTGTTTAAATGCCTGCATTTTCTCCAAATTGTTCTGCAAACTAAAAGCATTCACCTCATTGCAGAATTTTTTTTTTTTTTTAAAAAAGTACATTAAAAAAACACACACAACCCATAACCTATTCTCAATATCCTTACAAAGTCCTTGGAAACTACTGGAAAAAAAATTAATTTACATTCTGGCTTAAAATAGGAACATCTGTTTGTCAAAGACAGAATTGGTTTCAGTCACTCTTTAGCTTACAGATACGTAGAACTCCAGTTCCAATATTACTTTTCCACTGAGCTGGCTGGGGATAATAGAGATCGTAGTTCCTGGTTAAATGTTTGGGTTGGAGACTTGATATTTGGGGGTACAGACAACAGAAGCTTGCAGTGCAATTTTATTCACTCTGGTGTGGTTTCTAAGCACTTTTCAAACAAGCCATGATTAAGGTTAACTGTGTTGGATCCTATAATGGGGTCACCTGTGTGAATGCAGCCTGCTAACGGGAAGAAAATCTGGATCTGATTGACGTTTTACTTTATCATGGTTTCTTTAGCTTAGTACCTGAATCTAAACAATGCACCAAACCAGAAATGTAAATCTTTAACAAATTAACAGAGTTGGAAGGGACCTTGCAGGTCATCTAGTCCGACCCAAATCTTGCATTCTTTGTGGTTAGGTTCTCACAGCTGCCTGGAAAAAAAAATGTGATGGCTGAATTTTGGTTTAGTGCAGAGTTTTTCAAGCTTAGCAACTTTTAAGATGCGTGGACTTCAACTCCCAGAATTCCCCAGCCAGCATGATTTAAGAGGGGTGGACCTCAACTCCATGCTGGCTGGGGAATTCTGGGAGTCGAAGTCCATGCAAGTTGCTAAGTTTAAAAAACACTGGTTTAAGTGTGTTGCGTTATATTTGTATACTTTTTTATTTTGCCCTCTGGTGTACACAACAGGCAGGGCCAAGACAAAGCTTAATTTTGATTTATAAGATTATTCCTTATTTATTTGGGGATTTTCTCCATGATATTCTTTTAAATATTTCTTGATACTAATATTTTCCAAGTGGATTACACTTAATTAATCCTGTCTGACCTTAAAAAAGCAAAGCAGCGATGGGAGACTATGCGTAATCCTCGACTTACGAGTACAATTGGGACCAGAACCTCGGTCACTAAGCGATGCGGTCATTAACTGAGTCACACCTGATTTAACCTTTTTTCCCTGAGGTCGTTGAGCAAATCCGGTTTATGCATGCCAGTTGCTAAGTGCATGAATTTTAGTCACATGTAGAGGGATGATTCTGCGATGGTTGTAAGTGCTTGGACCGGTCATAAGTACGAGGACTGTTTGTACATGTGAGGACCAGTAGCTTTCCTCAGCAGCATCATAACTTCAAATGATTGTTAAACAAATGATCGTAAGATGAGGACTAGGAACTCCAGAGTTGTAGTAGAGACGGAGAAGTTGGAAAATTCTCTGGGGGAAAAAGCAAAATAAATAAATAAATAATGTTTTAACGCTGAGAGGTCACCAAATCTTTGAAGGCAGCTGAATTTTGCCTCCAAAGAATCATAGAATTCTAGGGGTCTTCTAGAGGTCTTCTAGTCCAACCCCCTGCTCAAGCAGGAGACCTCATACCATTGTGGACAAAGGGCCGTCTAATCTCTTCTTAAAAGCCTCCAGTGTTGGAGCACCCACAACTTCTGGTGGCAAGTTGTTCCACTGGTTAATTGTTTTCACTGTCAGGGAAGTTTCTCCTTAATTCCAGGTTGCTTCTCTCCTGGATGAGTTTCCATCCATTGCTTCTTGTCTTTCCTTCTGGTGCTTTGGAGAATAGGTGGAAACCCCACCCCCACCCCTCTTCTCTGTGGCAGCCCCTCCTCAAATATTGGAAGACTGCTGTGGCCTAGAGGTGGAGCTCTTGCCTCACAATCAGGAGGTGGTGAGTTCGATCCTAGGTAGAGGCAGATGTAAGGTCTCCTGCTTGGCCAGGGGGTTGGACTAGATGACCTGCGAGGTCCCTTCCAACTCTGTTAATGTTTTTAAGCCACAGTTTTGCTGAGCCCAGTTCATTGCGCAACTAGCCAGATGTTCTGGGGTCCATATTCTACACAACCCCTGTGGATACAGAGTCCGTCTCCTTTCAAATTGACCGTAGTCTGGTCATTTTTTTTTAGGAAGTTTCAATTCAGAAATTTAATTGATGATGCTGATGATTAGATCAGGCAGGGGTGTCCAGCTTTGGTAACTTTTAAGGCCTGTGCTATTATTCATGATTAATGTCAGTATTATTTTTAATTTATTGTATTTCTATTGCTGGTTGATGGCCGTAATAAAAGTTTTTATTCATAAGGCCTGTGGACTTCAACTCCCAGAATTCCTGAGCCAGCATGACTGCCTTAAGGAATTCTGGGAGTTGAAGTCCGGAAGTCATCAGGGAGCATAGCTGCCCACCCCACCTTATACCATGAAAGACGGCATAGAATTAAATTACAACCAAGAGCATCTGTCAACGCTGGGATTTTCCATACTGTCTGCTTCAGGGAAGAGGGCTGGACAGATGGAGGATAAGTAAAGCTGCTTAGGAATCAACTAGGATCCCTGCCCAGTTTCCTCCTTACCAGGAAAGCCCAGGTTCCAGGGCACAGTCGCTATGTGAGTCATTTTCCCCCCCCCCCCCCAAATCCATGTATAGCCTGCGTTTCCGGCATTCTTTAATGTCTTTCTTGGCTGTTAAGCTTCGACTGGTCAGCCTAGCACTGAACGGAGGAAAAAAATAGGAAACTGGCAAAAAGGTGCATAATTTGGGCAGCCTCTTGAAGCGGTTGGCATCCCTCTAACCCTCTGTTTCTCAACCTTGGCCATTGGAACAAGGGTCTCCAACCTTGGCAACTTTACGACTTGTGGACTTCAACTCCCAGAATTCCTCAGCCAGCATGCTTTAAGATGTCTGGGCTTCATGGCTGGCTGGGGAATTCTGGGAGTTGAAGTCCACAAGTCGTAAAGTTGCCAAGGTTGGAGACCCCAGCACTGGAAGGTGGGTGGACTTCAACTCCCAGAATTCCCCAGCCAGCATGCTTTAAGATCTCTGGGCTTCATGGCTGGCTGGGGAATTCTGGGAGTTGAAGTCCACAAACCTTACACCTCAAAGTAAGATACTGAAAGGGGGGGGGGAGTTGTCTGTGGAACTCCTCCTAGGAATCTTTTTTCACATTACCTCCTCCAGCAGTTACAAAAGTCTTGCTGGGCAGACCTAAAGCACTCTAGAATGAGGCAGAAAACCAGAAGCCTCTTCTACAGGGAGAATACCAGGAAGTGCAGGAGGGTGGGTGTGGATTTGGGGGCAGACTCAGAGTATCCATGTTGGCTGGGGAATTCTGGGAGTTGAAGTCCACAAGTCTTAAAAGTTGCCAAATCTGGAGATCCCTGGTTTAAGGAAAGGCCAAGTGGCTGAAGAATCATTGCCATTTTGAAAAGGCCAACCATGAACAGACGAGGCAGCCTAATGGAGGAACCATTAAAAGCTCTACAAACCAGTAAACTAATCACTAGCAGCCAGCAGGGGTTTGTTAAAAACAGATCATGCCAAACCAATCTTATTTCATTCTTTGACAAAGTGACTGAATTAGTAGACGAGCGAAATACTGTGGACATAATATACTTAGACTTTTTTTTTTAATTTGATTTATATGCCGCCCTTCTCCGGAGACTCAGGGCGGCTTACAATGCGTTAAGCAATAGCCTTCATACTTTTGTATGTTTTATACAAAGTCAGCTTATTGCCCCCACAAACTGGGTCCTCAATTTACCTACCTTTGAAAGGATGGAAGGCTGAGTCAACCTTGAGCCTTGGCGAGATTTGAACTTACAGTAATTGCAGACAGCTGGTGTTAATCACAATGCTATCAGTCTGCTGAGCCACCAGGCCCCACCAGACTTCAGCAAAGGCATTCGACAAAGTAGACCACAACCTACTTCTTGGTAAGCTAGAAAAAAGTGGGATAGACAGCATCACCACCAGATGGATTCATAACTGGCTGACAAACTGTACTCAACGAGTAGTCCTTAATGGGTCTACGTCTACATGGCGGGAAGTAAGCAGTTGGGTACTACAAGGTTCCGTCTTAGGCCCAGTACTCTTCAATATCTTCATAAACAATTTAGATGAGGGAATAGAAGGGGAACTTACCAAATTTGCAGATGATACTAAGCTGGCAGGAATAGCTAACATCCTAGAAGACAAGCTCAAGGTCCAGATGGATCTTGACGGACTAGAACACTATCTAGCGAAATGAAATTCAATGTAGAGAAAAGTAAGTCTTATGCTTAGGCAGCAAAACCCCAAGGAAAAATATAGACTGGGTAAAACCAGGCTTAAGAGCAGTGACTGAGAGGGACCTTGGAGTCTTAGTGGACAACCAGCTAAATTTATTATTTTATTTTATTAAATTTTTATACTGCCCTTCTCCCGGAGGCCTCAGGGCGGTGTACAGCCAGAGATAAAACCCACAACAATATAAAAGTTAAAAGACGAATTAAAAGTACTAAATAATTTGGCCGAAAAAGCTAAAATAAAGACAACCCATTAAAATAGCATTTAGGCCAGCCCTGCTTGGTGAAACAATAGTGTTTTGAGGGCGCGGTGAAAGGTGCGAAGGTCGGGAATCCTACGAATCTCCGGGGGCAGTTCATTCCAGAGGGCAGGTGCCCCCACAGAGAAGGCTCTCCCCCTGGGGGTCGCCAGTCGGCATTGTTTGACCGACGGCACCCTGAGGAGACCCTCTCTGTGGGAGCGTACTGGTCGATGGGGGGCTATCGGAGGCAGAAGGCGGGTCCTAAGCCATGGAGCACTTTAAAGGTGGTGACCAACACCTTGAAGTGCACCCAGAAGACCACCGGGAGCCAGTGCAGCTCGTGCAGGGGCGGTGTTACATGGGAGTGTCGAGTCGTTCCCATAATCACCCGCACGGCTGCATTCTGGACCAGTTGGAGCCTCTGGGTGCTCTTCAAGGGGAGCCCCATGTAGAGAGTGTTACAGTAGTCCAGACGGGAGGTGACAAGGGCGTGAGTGACCGTGCGCAAGGAGTCCCGGTCCAGAAAGGGATGCAACTGGTAGATCAGGCGAACCTGATAAAAAGCCCCCCTGGCCACAGCCGTCAAATGGTCTTCTAGGGCCAGCTGCGAGTCCAGGAGGACACCCAATATGTGTCGGTGTGCAGCGGCAGCCAAAAAAGATCTGTTAAATTCAGCCTAGCAGAGATTGAGAGAGAACTTCCTGACTAGTGTATAGAAGTGATGGGTAGTCCTCAACTTTCAACGGCAATTGGGACTAGCATTTGTATGACCTTGGAGTCCTAGTGAATGATCACTTGAATATGAGCCAGCCGGGTGCAGCAGCAGCAGCCAAAAGAGCTAACACAATCCTGGGTTGTATAAACAGAGGCACAGAATCAAGATCACACGAAGGATTGGTACCGCTTTACAAAACCTTAGTAAGGCCACACCTGGAATCCTGCAACCAATTTTGTTCACCAGGTTGGGATTTTGGAAAAAGTGCAGAGAAGAGCAACTAAGATGATTAAAGTACCTGGAGACTAAAACATAGGAAGAATGGCTGCAGGATTTGGGTCTGGCTAGTCTAGAGAAAAGAAGGACCAGGGGTGACATGACAGCAGTATTCCAGTATTTGAGGAGTTGGCCCAAAGAAGAGGGAAGGGTCCAATTATTCTCCAAAGCACCTGAGGGCAAGAAAAAGAAACAATGGATGGAAACTAATCAAGGAGAGAAGCAACCTGAAATTAAGGAGAAACTTCCTAACAGTGAGGACAATTAACCAGTGGAACAGTTTGACACCAGAAATCGTGGGCCCTCCATCACTGGAAGTTTTTAAGAAGAGACTAGACAGCCAATTGTCTGAAATGGGATAAATTCCCCTGCTTGAGCAGGGGGCTGGACTAGAAGACCTCCAAGGTCCCTTCCAGCACTATTCTATTCCAATTCGTATTGCTATTCATTTCTGTCGCTAAGCGATATGGTCTGTGGAACTGCATGCTCTGTGATACAAGGAGCCATTTACAAGTAGTCTTTTGACTTATGATCGCAACTGGGACTGGAATTCTGGTTAAGGTTGTAAATCGAGGCACATATGATGGGACCCGATATATTTTTTTTACGGTGCTTGTTAAGCAGATCTTGCAATCATAAGCTGAATACACTTTCCTGAATGGGCATTTTCTGTTGTTAAATGCCTGGTCGTAAATTGAGGATTACCTGTACTAGAATCTTTCAACAGGGAATGGAGGTTGCCCTGGGGGTGGGGATAGAGGACCTCTGAGGTTCTTGACAACTCTAATTCTAGGACGTTGCTTTCTCTTATTAAAAAAAAAAAAAGTGCCATCCAACGGAATGAGTGGCAAAAGCAATTTCTCCACAATTGTGAGCAGGAGAGGTGAGTCTTGTTGGATTGTAAATTCCAGGTGTATTTGGCGCTCCCAAGATTTCAGATCTCTGGTAAATCCTGTTCCCCTTTTGCACACAGATTTCCCAAACTCAATTCAGTGCCCAGCAGGATTTCGGAAGTACAAAATGACTCACCATGATGTCATCTGCAAATGGTCCTTCCTTCCACCTTTGCTCCGTACAGAACAATGGAATGAAAGGAAACTTACCAGGAAGAAATATTTGGATGTGGAAAGCTGGCTGAAATTCTTGGCTCAGAATTGCTGTCAGTCCGGGACTAAGTTTGCACAACATAAACACACTAGGCTGGGGTCAAATAAGTTGTGAAAAGCAGGCCTGCTGCGTCTCAACTCAGCATGTTAGCCAGACTATTTTAGGAATTATTTGGAATAATTTAGAAAATCTGGATATAAAGCAGCGTTTCTCAATTCACAAGGCAAGTCCAACAATAGGTCAATTCAGCAACCAAGTTACGCATTTGTGAGAATCTACCACTTCAGCCAAGATGCCTAGATAAGTATTGCTCAACTTCTGCCACTTTAAGATGAGTGGGCTGCAACTCCCAGAATTCCTTAGCCATCCACATACTTCATGCTGGCTGGGGAATTCTGGGAGTTGAAGTCCACCCATCGTAAAGCATGTTGGCAAGGGATTCTGGGAACTGAAATCCACACACTTAAAACATGCAGGCTGGGGAATTCTGGGAGTTGAAGTCCACCCATCTTCAAGTGGAGAAGGTTGAGAAACATGGATGTGACTATGGAATTCTGGGAGTTGAAGTCCACACACTTAAAACATGCTGGCAGGGGAATCCTGGGAATTGAAGTCCACACACTTAAAGCATGATGGCAGGGGAATTCTGGGAGTTGAAGTCCACCCATCTTCAAGTGGAGAAGGTTGAGAAACATGGGTGTGGCTGTGGAATTCTGGGAGTTGAAGTCCATACACTTAAAACATGCAGGCTGGGGAATTCTTGTAGTTGAAGTCCACACGCTTAAAGCATGCTGGCAGGGGAATACTGGGAGTTGAAGTCTGCCTATTTTCAAGGGGACAAGATTGAGAAATACTTCTTTAGAGACCACGAGGCCAAGAATTGGGTTGGGGCATTGCTCGCTGCCAGCCTAAAGCTGCTGGGTTAATTCAGGGGGTGATCCCAGCCCTTTTGGGACACTAACCATGATTTATGGCTGAGAGCGACTGTGGGAGGAAAGTGTTAGTCCTTGATGCAAAAAAAAACAAAAAAAACCCAGAAGTTAGGTGAGATAACTCCTCATTCACCGAACAATTCTACCTTTTTATCACACTTGTAAATTGGAAAATATGCTGGCCTTGCAGGCTGAGGTGAGGTGTGTGTGAATCATCTTTATCAGTGTTTCTATTGTTTCATTCTAACAATAACCCTCCCTATCTGTTTCAGGGTTTGGATCATTAAATCACAGGGTTCGAAGGGACCTTGGAGGTCTTCTAGTCCACCCCACCCCCCATTCAAGCAGGAGACCCTACACCATTTCAGACAAATGGCTGTCCAGTCTCTTCTTGAAAACCTCCAGCGATGGAGCCCCCAAAACTTCTGCAGGGAAGCTGCTGCCTCACCGGTTGATTGTTCTCACTGTCAGAAAATGTCTACTCAGTGCTAGGTTAGCTTCCTCTTTAATGATCCTTCTAGATCAGAGGTGTCCAACCTTGGCAACTTTAAGACTTGTGGACTTCGACTCCCAGAATTCTCCAGCCAGGAAAGCAGGGGTCTCCAACCTTGGCAACTTTAAGACTTGTGGAGATTTGCTGGCTGAGGGATTCTGGGAGTTGAAGTCCACAAGTCTTAAAGTTGCCAAGGTTGGAGACCCCTGATCTAGATCCAGGACCATTGGAAACTAATCAATGCACTAAAAATGACAAGACTATGCTTGATTTGGAAGGAGGCAGACTCTGTAACTGCAGCGGTTGTGTAGAATACTGGATGCACATCTGGCTAGTTGTGCGATGAACTGGGCTTAGCAAAACTGTGGCTTAAAAACACGACAGCAGCCTCCCAGCATTTGAGGGGCTGCCACAAAGAAGAGGGGAGGGGGTCAATCTGTTCTCCAAAGCACCAGAAAGCAGGACAAGAAACAATGAATGGAAACCAATCAAGGAGAGATTCAACCTGGAAGTAAGGAGAAACTTCCTAACAGTGAGGACAATTAACCAGTGGAACTGCTTGCCACCAGAAGTTGTGGATGCTCCATCACTGGAAGCTTTTAAGAAAAGACCGGACAATCATTTGTCTGAAATGGAGTTGAGCACGGGGCTGGACTAGAAGACCTCCAAGGTCCCTTCCAAACCTGGTGTTCTCTGGCTAATTAGGTTTGCCTTGACATCTCGGTTTTATTTGAAGAGCTCCCGCTAGGGGGCAGCAGCTAACCAACCTTGGCTGATCTTTGGAAAGAAAGAAAGAAAGAAAGAAAAACCTCTGGATTGTCAGTACAGGGAAAGGGGACCACCAGGAGATGCCAGCAAGGGGGATTTTTTTTTTTTTGCAAGAAAGCCACTTTTACTACCAGAGAAACTTGCATAGCTCGACTCGGGCGGCCAAAGTCGGGGATGGGGGGCGAGGGGGGGTAGTAGCCTCCAGCCAACTTTGATCCATTTGCAAAAGTGAAGCAGGATCGACTTGATTCCTATTTGGGCATCGGGGGGGGTGTTCCGATCCCCCACACACAAAGAAGCCAAGAGCGGAGCGGCTTCTCCCGCGCTGCAAAAGCGCGCAGGAGCAAAGACGGAGCGCAGAGTTGCAACCGGGCGCCCGCCGGTGCTGAGAGCCGGCCAGGGGCTCCCGGGGGGCGGTGGAAGCGGGAGAGGAGGAGGGAGGCGCTGAGCCGGCTGCGGAGGATGGGCGCTGTAGTACGGCCGGCGCGCCCTCCTACCTGGCCCGGTGTCGGGTTGCGCCCAACCCCCGAGCATCGGGGCGGGGCGGGGCGGCTGGGCTGGGGCCGCTGCTCCCATTCTGGGCTCCCGCGTCCTCCTCCGCCGCCGCCGCCACCAGCATGTGCAGCCCGGTGGAGCGGCGCCTGGGCGGCCTGCGGGCTCTGCTGGGGGGCGAGGGGGCGGCGGCGGCGGGGCTGGAGGGGCTGCTCGACCTCCTCATCTGCGTCCACCAGGAATGCAGCGCTGCCCCCCTGCGCCGGGAGCGGCCCGTGCAGCAGTTCCTGGAGTGGGGTGAGTCGGGGGGGGGGCTTGTGGGGTGGGGGGCTCCTGGGCAGTGCATCTGGCACTTCTGCTGGATGATGAGAGGAAATCTTGACTATATCTCTGAAAGCCAAGTCCAAATGTTGAGGTTCTTCTAAGCATTTTCTGTCATTGTTCCTCACCTATAGACAGAAATCTAAAGTAAATTATTTGTACCATGAAACATATACACGGAGAATTACTAGGGAACAACGGTCTTCTTTCTTTTTCCCCACACAAGCTAAATTAAACTTTACCATATTTTGCTCCTCTGGAATGTACTCATTTCCTTCTGGGAATCCAGTCTACATTCCACCACACTAAGTATCATACTTTGTAAGACATACTTTTTCCATTCGTGAAAAATGGGCCTGTTTTTGGCCTCCCAAAACCCCACCCCATGCGTCCTGTTTTTGCCAAAAACAGGCCCATTTTTCACAAAAATGGGGTGCGCAGAGTGTTTGGGAGGCCTGCAGTGTGCTCCTGAGGGCTGGGGAGGGCAAAAACACAACACATGGGGATTTGGGAGGCCAAAAACGGGCCCATTTTTCATGAAAATGGGATGTGCAGAGGGTCTGGGAGGCCTGCAGAGTGCTCCTGGGGCTGGGGAGGGCAAAAACAGAATACATGGGGGGGTTGGGAGGCCAAAAACGGGCCCGTTTTTCATGAAAATGGGATGTGCAGAGGGTTTGGGAAGCCTGCAGAATGCTCCTTGGGGCCGGGGAGGGCAAACATTTTTTTTCTTGTTTTCCTCTTTGAAATCTTGGTGCGTCTTATACTCCGGGGCATCTTATAACCTGAAAAATACAGTATATTAAGACAGGCATGGATCCACCAGACCAAGAGGTTTTCCCTTTACAGTGTGCTTCAATATAGATTCTATGCTATGCTACTATGCCTGGAATACACACAGTTGAATTCCTTTAACTGTTTTTTTTTTTTTGCTATGGCAATGAGGCAGTCATGACTATACATCCTCACTGTTTTGCAATCATGTATAACAGTACAGGCTTTTAACTGAGTGTTTGTGGCCCCAATTTTGATTTAAAAAAAAAAACAAAAACCATTACTGATACCCCTGGCTTTAGGTGCAGTGAAATGGACAGTGGGCATAACAACGTGTGATCTTGTCTCATCCACCTTTATAACCTCCTCTGTCAAACGTATGACATTTATCTCACCTTGTTACAAATTATGTCAAGGGTAGGGCTGGAACATGGGTTATTTTTTAAGGCAAAAATAAAAATTGTAAGCCTAATTCACAGTAAATGTTAAGCCAAGATTTTCTTGTGATTGCTGAATGCTTAGTTCTCACATCTCTCTAAACCGAAATCAAACAATTCCTTTTGTGGTTTATGTGACTGTAAGCCAGTCCCTATAAGTGGAATTTAAATGTCAAACAGGGAGTATATTCAGTTAAGCATCCATTGAATTTGTAACTGAGAACTGCTGTTGTGTAGTGATTACATTGCTGGAGTCAATAGGAGAAGTCTATCTCTTTTGTATGTGTATCATATGTTGTGTGCCTGTTTGTAAGAGGCAAAGCAGATTCTGATGAATTCCCCAGATTGGGCACCATTGGGCATCATAACGATCCAGAGCCACATGTCACAACCAATCACAAAACATGAATGTGGTCAAAGGAGTATTTTTCTGGCTCTTATTCCACTTCCTTCCCTTCCTCTTGCTTCTTTTCTCTCACACTTTCTCTCCTCCTTTCCATGTTTCCTTCTCCTCTTCTTTATGTATATAGAAACCCAACTGGTCCTGCACAGTCAGATTGTTGCATTTCCTTAATGAAACAAAGGGAAAAATATTTTACTATTTTTTTTTAGATTTTTATTCTAAGAGCCGCGGTGGCGCAGTGGTTAGAATGAAGTACTGCAGGCTATTTCTGCTGCCTGCCGGCTGCCTGCAATTTGGCAGTTCGAATCTCAGCAGGCTAAAGGTTAACTCATCCTTCCATCCTTCCGAGGTGGGTAAAATGAGGACCAAGATTGTTGGGGGCAATAGGCTGACTCTATAAACCCCTTAGAGAGGGCTGTAAAAGCACTCTGAAATCGTATATAAGTCTAAGTGCTAGTTCTATTGCTATTCTGCCTTTATTATGTTTGTAAATAAGTCAAAGTGACAAACATACACAATACTCTTTCCTCTTTCTATTTCCCCCAACCCTGTGAGGTGAGTTGGGCTGAAAGAGAGCGATTGGCCCCAAATCACCCAACCAGCTTTTATGGCTAAGGCAGGACTAGAACTCACAGTCTCCTAGTGATTGGCCCAAAGTCAACTATTTGGCTTTCATGCCTAAAGTGGGATTAGAACTCATAGTCTCCTATCCCAAAGGTGCTTTTTCAAAAGATTGTTCAGAATTGAAGAAGCTTCTTTGAGGAGAAGCGAAATGTTTTCAAATGAAAAAAAAAAAACCACAAGAAAAGTTCAGTTGCCTTTTGAAAAAGCTCATTTGGGACAACCATAACTTGGGGTTGAGGGTCTCCATAGACATCACAGCCTCATGGTTTCTAGCCTGGTGCCTTAACCGCTAAACCAATCTGGTCTATGTAACTTTGATCTGAAGAACTAGCATATAACCACCATCATCATCTCCTTTCTGAATGGCAGTGTTATTCTTTCCTGGGATGAAATCCTCCTGAATCTGAAAACATTTATTTCTCAGTGGGCTTACAGAAGCTTGCACTGCATGTGGTTTAGCTCTAAAAACTCTGCAGTTATTAAAAAGTCCACCAAGGACTTTTTATGATGCTTTCCCCTTTTGCCCAAAATAAGACAGAATTAAAATTTCTTCTGATGGAAATACCTTTTTGAAATGATGAGTAAAATGGAGATCAGCTACATAATGTTGAAGGAATTTCTTTTGTGGGAATGCTCAGAAGTAGTAAGTTGAAAAACTTGTCTGTATAATAGGGAGAGAAATGGATAAAAAGAGTGAATCCTTTCTCTCTATGCATGGTCAATTTTTTTTTCAATCTTTTTATGCCACTCACGTGGCTATCTCATATGTTCACAGTGAATAATTTACAAATATAGTTTCTCTTCTCAAGCATAACATGAGCCCTGGCAACTTTGGAAAGCATTTTGAGAGAAAAGATGCCAAAGTAAAGTGTAGATTGCATTAAAAACTCATTTTCTGTGTCATCACGACATCGGTCAACCTGCCTTAATAGCTACTTTTCTTCGTTCCTCATCAATTATGATGAGAATAAAAAGATCAACAGTTTGCATCTGCCATTAGTTTGTGGGGAGAGAATTGTGCTGGCTTGAAAGATTTCCTTTCCAGAAATGGCCCCAAAGACCAACCATGCATGAGAATTGTCAAATCAATATGTCAGGTTCAGCTTTCTTTCTTTCTTCACCTACCTGAGCTTTGTGTTTCTTGCTCTACCAATCACTTCCCACACAAAATACCTTGTATTTGTTATTATCCCTAATAACTTTCATTTGATAGGACAAGAACAAATAGATGAATCTTTACTTGAGGAGAGCCTAATATGAAAAAGGAGGAATTTCCTTGCTAAAAAAGCTATTAAACAGTGGAACAGCCTACCTCTTGGTGTCATGGAGGCTACATCACTGGAGCTTTGGTTATGCAAGAGTTTAGATGTGACTCAGTAAAAAATAAAGGACGGAGTCCGGATTAGTCTTCATAAACCAAGCGTGTTTATTCAGCTGAATAAAGATGAGTCCTCCCTTAAAGTGGAAGAACTCTGAACACTGTGTAAGGCAGATATTTATAGATTACTTTTACTTAGTTACATAAAAGGAAGCTGGCACACAACATATAAGTTATAGAAGCATAAGGTAAAAGTAAAGATTCCCCTCGCACATATGTGCTAGTCGTTCCTGACTCTAGGGGGCAGTGCTCATCTCCGTTTCAAAGCTGAAGAGCCAGCACTGTCCAAAGATGTCTCCGTGGTCATGTGGCTGGCATGACTAAATGCCAAAGGAGCACGGAACACTGTTGTCTTCCCACCAAAGGTGGTCCCTATTTTTTCTACTTGCATTTTTTATGTGCTTTTGAACTGCTTGGTTGGCAGAAGCTGGGACAAGTAACAGGAGCTCACCCGGTTACGCGGCACTAGGGATTCAAACCACTGAACTGCCGACCTTTCGATCAACAACCTCAGCGTCTTAGCCACTGAGCCAGCATGCCCCTTTATAGAAGCATAGAAGTTATAAAAATACTCAAGCACATCTTCTGTGGTTTTGGTCACATGCCTAAGCCTCAGGCTAGTGGTTTCCTATGGAACTTTCCATGGCCTCAAGGGTCTGCTGAGGCCTGAACTTCAATTCTGCCATCTCAACATATGTTCCCTTTAGCCAGTCATCAAATTCATCCGATTACTGATCAACACTTTCTAACCAAAGAGAGATAGCTATTTATTTGAGATGCTGTAAGGAATCCAGCTATGGGTAGGAGATGGGACTAGAAGACCTCCAAGGTTCTTTCAATCCTTTGATTTTATTATACTGTGACCAAGGACAACTTCTGCTATTGAGTGCCTGCTCTACTAGAAAGGTAAAGGTTAAGGACACCATTGAGTTCAGCTGGACTTCTCTGAAGATCCTGTTTATATCTTCTGTGTTTGGACCACAAAAATCCAGATGGCACAAAAAATACACCGCAGGGTAGAAAGAGTAGCTATATTCTTCCATCCAAGTAACATGACCTAACGCTACGTAGCTTCTTCCACCTGCTGAGACCTGTCAAAAAACATGTTCCTATGATGCGTGTACTGAACTTTTTCCTGGAAATATTCTCTCCCCCCAAAGAAAGAAAAACCTGGAGGGGGTCTACATTATATGTAGACTGGAAACTAGAAAAAGAACCTGAGATCAGACAAAGACCTTGATCAAAGTAGAGTTTAAGTTCCCTCAACATCCAAAAGAATGTAAAAAGCGAGTGGTCTATTACCCTGCAGGATGAAGAGGTACAAGACTTGAATCCTGGACTCAATGTTGTGCAAACTGGGATT